CCAGATTAACATCAAAACTGCAAATCCTTTCACCCAGAGTCTCCATTTGAGTTTTGCTAATGTCCCATCAATGTCTTTGTTGCAGAAGGATCTAATCCTGAATTGTGGATTATCTTTCCTTGTTATGTCACTGGAGTCTCCACCAAACCAGAACAAGTCCTTCAGTGGCCTTTATGACCTTGACACTTGAAAAAATAAAGGTCTTTGATTTTGTAGGATGATCTTGAATTTGGGTGTTTGCTGTTTCTTTGTGACTGAACTTGGGCTTTGCATTTTGGGGTACACCATCTTTGCAGTGGTGCTGTGTTCTCCCCAATGCAGTCCATCGAGTGACATGTGATGTTGATTTGTCACAGCCCTGGTGATGTTAACTTTGATCACTTGAATATGGTGGTAATTCACTGCATTTCTTTAGGATAAAGTTAATATATCCCCCTTTACAACTAGCAAGTATTTTGTGGAGAGAAATTCTGAGCCTATGTAAATATCTTTTTATTCTATCCAAATTCAACTCCTGTTTTAGGTCCCTTTTAGTTTCTTGTCTGAGTTATTAAATGAATGCCAAGTGGTGATCTCTAATTCTTCCATTTCTTCTACATTCATCATTTGGTTTACTACTATTAGGGATAGCTTTCCCTTCTCTGCATTTATTTATTCACTAATCTGTTTATATTTCTGTGGCTTCCTATTTTATTCAATAAGATATAATGTGGCAGTATTTGATGATCATTGTCTCAGTTTGGGCTATAGGAGGCCCCATCAAACTGGCTACTAGAAACACCTCTATGTTAACCAGCATTTTGATGCTGTTGTCAAAATAACTGACAGAGACACTGGAGAGGAGGAGAAGTTTATTTTGGGCTCACACTTTCAGAGGTTGAATCCCTGGTTGGCTTACTCCATTGCCCTGGGCCTGAGGTGAGGAAGAACATCATGGTAGAAAGGGTGGTGACGGGAGGTTGCTCATTCATGATGGCCAGGAAGCAGAAAGAGGAAGGAGAAGGGGCCACCAGGAAGATGAACCCTTCTAGGGCACACCCCCAGTGACCTGCTTCCTCCAGTCCCCCCCCCCCCCACTTGCTTAAGTCACCTCCCACGCAGTAGTCCTGTCAAGGTAGGAGGGACTGAGTGGGCTACAGGTCTCACAATCCAATCATTTCACCTCTGAACACTCCTGTGTTCACCCAGGAGCTTTGGGGAAACACCTCCCATCCATCTTTCTTCCAACACGTTTTTACTTTCTGATATTACAAGATGTCCAGGGTCATCGTGCACATCTTGACACAGCCTGGCTTCAGTTATTTCCTTGAGAAGTCAAGGTCTGGACACTTGGTATACCCATGCTACTGGTGATGATGCTTTTAGACCCTCTCAGAGAACAGAGCCAGAACATATTAGACATGCATGTTTTAAAAGAAACACATAGACACTTTTGCTTCTACATTTGCTTCTCTCTTGTCTAATCTATCTATCCATCCATCCATCCATCACTCTCTATCCATTCATCCAATGGAAATCATGAATTCACACTGATATATTCAATTTTAGTCCAATGCCATAGGGCTTATTCTAGCTTTCCATCCCTTTCAAATTTGTAACTGAATTTTCTGGTGATAGGACACATGACGCAAATTAGTTTTAAAGCATTTATTTCTGTATCAGTGCAGCTATAAATAGTAGCCTCTGCCTCTTGTCTTGGCTACAGACCTCAGGTAAGGCCCTGTGATAAATTCTTGCTGCATTATCAGCTAAACCTTTGCCCTTTGGTGTAAACACTTTACCAATGTTGGTTAGCTCGTTTTCCATCTCTCTTTCTCTCGCTCGGCTCTCTCTCTCTCTCTCTTTCTCAACACACACACTCACATGCACACATATACACACATACCACAAGCACCACTTGTCATTTAATGGGTAGGGAGGCACTGACTACTTTACCCCATGGGTGAGATATAATCATAAACTGATTTGATACAAATTAAATGGACTGCATCTTCAATTAGTAAACAAGTTATAGGCTGTTGTAATAGAAATGACTATTCTTCAATGCTTTTCTAATTTGATTCCTTCTCAAATAATGACAATGTTTAAATGTAAGTTAATTCTTCATTATTAAGAATCATCTATGCGATTACCCGCAATACACTTTTAATCATCTTAATTGAGTTGAGTTTTACAACTTTTGATGTGTATAGAGCTACTGGCTTTTCACAAGGGCGATTTCCCTTTATCATAAGATATATGAAAGCATGAGATTCACATCATGTAAAAAAGATGAAAACCACAACACGAAGGTGTGCACGGTGTTTGCATAAGCCAAAAGATATTTTGCAAATAACTAAGCCAGACCTTCACTTATCAGAGAACAGTGTGTGTGTATTTGCTGGAAAATGTATTGGAAGGCAGAGTCACTAGACTGCACACAGCATGGCCATATTGTCAAAATCTGCTGTACAGCTTTCTAAGGAGTTGGTTTGCTGACATCTATGACTTTACTATTTCTTTGTGAGATACTTGTTGTTCAGTGGCTTTCTCTTTCTGATCTGTGCACCAGTAGTTGCATGCACACTGGAGATTACTATGTGAAAGATGTTTCTTATTAGTGAAGCATCTATGCTGATTCCTCCTTGCTCTGTACCTGGTATCCTGATTATGAGAAAAGTTTAAGCTCTAGGACTGGCACACCGAAACATATTTATGAACCTTTCTTCTGTGTTAAGGCCTCAAGATTCTTTATAAAATTGATCGCTCAGTTGGGGTGAGGCATCCACAGTACAGTAGGAATGCAATTAATATGCAAAGTGTGATAGATGGCCAGGCTCTTAAAAGCTGATCTCTTCTATCAGTAAGCCTCTGTTTCTGCTCTGAGTAGCAGAGTTGCATTACTTTTGAGACATATTAGCATTAGAACATGGAGATTTTATACCCCCTAGAGTTTGGATGTGCAATGCCCCTAAAGGCCATGTAATAGAAGTTTGATTGGCAGCCTGTGGTGCTACTGAGAAGTGGTAGAACTTTTAGGAGGTGGGGTCTAATGGGAGGATTCCTCAGAATGGGGGGTCCCTGGAGGCGATATTGGGACCCTGGCCCATTCCCTGTTTTTGCCTCCTGGCCACCATGAGCTGAGCCTTTTTTCTTTGCCACACACTTTTGCTATGATCTTCTGCTTCACTGAAGATACAACAGCAACAGATGTTGGGGGATATGACTCAGTGGTTAAGCACCCCAGGGTTCAATTTCCAGAAAAAAAAATACATACTGAAGATTGATTGCACTATTTTCAAATAGTGTCTTGAAAGTTTGAGGAAGGGGTTGACGATAAATATTCTGAGGAATATAAAACCCCAGGTTCAAGATCAAGAGCCTTATGAAATGGAAGGAAGGAAATCAGGAAGGAAGGAAGGAAGGGAGGGAGGAAGGAAGGGAGGGAGGGAGGCTTATTGATAGAAGTCCAAGCAAGCATGGACTTGAACTTCTGAAACCATGAGCCAGAACAATTTATTCTTATAAACTGATTGTCTCGGGCATTTTGTCACAGTGACAGAAATACCTATTGGTTTGGCTGAGTAATTCAATGAGTGTAATAATCCTTAGCATGTTCGAGTTGGGACTTTTGGACAAATAACATTTGCCTTCAAATATATTTTGCTTTGGGACACATCTGAATCCCTAGGCTGTGTGTCTTATGTGTGGAGTTTTCACTTGGTAGGAAATCAGCATAAGTGACTCTCTGTAGTCTGTAGCTTGGTGCAGAGGTGTTATTCTCCTCTGGTAATTATAGTAACAGTTACTTGAAAATTATATGGCTAAGAGGTATTCTTCCAACTTCAGAGTTCACAAAACTGTCTGTGATATCACACGTCAAGGTCAATGGTTCAGCGTGTAATACTTTCTCTACTCTCAAAACCAAGTATGGTTTTGCCTGGTGTATTATAGTTACATGGAAGTTGTTGATAAATTGTTATGTTGGCTTCTATTACCATCTCTCTCCCTCCCTCCCTCCCTTCCTTCCTTCCTGATTTCCTTCCTTCCATTTCATAAGGCTCTTGATCTTGAACCTGGGGTTTTATATTCCTCAGAATATTTATCATCAACCCTCCCTCAAACTTTCAAGACACTATTTGAAAATGGTGCAATCAATCTTCAGTATGTATTTTTTTTTTTTTTTTTTACTGGAAATTGAAGCCTGGGGTGCTTAACTACTGAGTCACATCCCCAGCCCTTTTGATTTTGAGACAGGGCCTCACAAAGTTCCTTCAGATCTCACAAAGTTGCTGAGGCTGGCTTTGAACTCTCAATCGCCCTGCCTCAGCCTTCCAAGCTACTGGGATTACAGGCATGTGCCGCCGTGCCCAGAAGTATGTACATTTCATGTTTTAAAGAATCATGGATGTTCTTCTCTCTGTGTTCAGCACTTTCTTCTCTTTCTTTGTCTGGCACCCATCTTGGCTTCTACTTTCATGGCCCTAATTAATTGCATCTCTCGATAGCTGGGTTATGATGGTATAACTACAATCAGAAAGACCTGGGCTGAAAACTAGCTCTGAAAACCACCATCTGGGTCTGTGTATTCTTAAAAATGGGAGCAGGGAGTAATGGTACATATTTCGCTGTTTTATTGTATAAATTAAGAGAGAGAATGTATTGCAGTGCTCATCCCAAACCAGGCATACAATAAAAGAACCAACAAGCGTTAGAATGCCATCCCACAAGGACTGGGATTTGGACTCTGAAGTTTTCAAACAGGCAACACACGTCTGGCTTGTGGTAAGTACTGATAAATGCACATCAGCAGTGACTATTATTCATCTGCTGAATTAGGCTTTCCCACAAGACTCTGAAAATCGAAGGTGAAGGGTGAGCCTACTACGAGTACATCATCCCATATGTGAGGCAGCTAGTGATACCTGCAGAGGCAGAGCCTCAAGTGATGGATGGGTTTCATGCAGTATTTCTGCGGCAACAAGTTCAGAAAGTGACAGTGTTTGTTTTGTCCTTCCCAGGTGTCCTGTTTTCACTGGTGGTGTTGCTGTATGTCATCTGGGTCCAGGCAGTGGCCGACATGGAAAGCTATACGAGCATGAAAATGAAAGACTGCTTGGAGTTCACCCCTTCCGTCCTGTATGGCTGGTCATTTTTCCTGGCTCCAGCTGGGATTTTTTTTTCTCTGATGGCTGGGTTGCTCTTCCTACTTGTTGGACGACATATTCAGATACATCACTAATCAAACCATTGCCACCCGCATTTTTTGAGAGATTTTTAAAACAGAGCTTATTTGTGTTTTCATAATGGTATCAACATAATGTTAGTTGATGTACCTTTTGTTATCTTGAAGGAATCATTTTACTTATTATTTCCTCTGTAAGAAGGTTCTAGAATTTTTCTGAACACCAACATGTTTGCATCTTTTTTAAGTACTAGTAAGGACTTAATCTCTAGGGAGCAGGTAAATAGGCCTTCCTTTCATTTCATATTTTGGAGTTCATAGGGATTGCAAAGGTCTGACAGTAGCATGCGACCCTTACCTGGTCAAATCAAGGTTGGTTTAAAGTCTCCTTGCTCACATTCACTTCTGCCACTGATTAAGGAAAAGAAAACTTAGGAGAATAATTAAAGATGAAAATAAATATCAGAAAATGTATTTCATTTCTTCTCTACCCACATACATATCCATGTACCCATCGACAGTCTCCTGTAAGCAAATTATTCATTACTTAAAAATAGACTGCAGTTGTTCCTGTTAACAGGAGCCAGGGACTCCTAAGTTAAAATGGGCAACAGCAAAGGAAACCAAGAGTGTTTATTCTACTTTCTTACCAACAATAGTTTGATCACCTAACTTTATTCTCCTAACTGTACATGCTTACACAAACCTTCAACTACATTTAAAAGCAGTATATCTGTATACCAACTTCTGTATACTGCAGACGAGAATTTTATGAATTTAAAGGGGATTAATTATGTAATGTAATATGGTTTAAAATATGTAAAAAATCAAGCACCTCAGCTTAGTACATAATTCTATTTGATATTTTAAAATTCCCACTTAAAAATCATATTGCTAAGATTTTCTGCCTGTGAAAATTTATAGATGAAACATGCTTTTAATATTCTCTAGCTATAAAGTTTCAAAATACTTCCATATGAGGATCATAATAGTCTTGCTTTATGAAAGAACATGAAATATTAACTTTCCCCCAGATTTTGTGGGTTCCAATTCTTCTGCTCACTTGATTCCCTTAGTCACTGCCCCTCAATGTCTTCACCTTTACCATAGGTGTGTTCACATTCACAGATCCACAATTTTCTTTAACCTCCTGGAAGAAAAGGAATAATTTCATGTTATTCAGGAGCACAGACATTTGCATACCAAAGATGTTTGTTTGGCTCGAATGTTGATTGAAATCAAACCCATCTGAGGGGCACAGGTTGTGTTTTCATTCTGGAAGCTTCCATCAAGGAGAAATTTGGAACAAAGGAATGGAGGAACAGCACAGTGTGAAAGCTTTGTTGGAAGCTGAGTTTCATTTTGCAACTGTGGTGAGATGGAAAGTGGGACTGAGGCAGAGGAATGATCACCTGGATATTGCTTTGGGAAAGACGGACTCTCCCTTCGCATCCATTCGCATCCAGCTGTTGCTGCAATGGAGAACTTTTGCTAGCCCTTTCTGTACATTGTTTGCTCTATCATTACTCCTGTTTCCAGGGGAGGGAACTTTGGAGAAATAGCAGAGGTCTGATCTATCTACCTAATCAGGAGGGCATTTTAGTAACAGGACCTGCCTGTAAATATAATAATTTTTAAAAAGCTCCAGGGGTTTAACTGGTTTCTCAAGTCATTTCAGTGATATCATAAATGTGTTTTTGATGGAACTTTACCTTTGTCTTTTTCTGTTTCATTTTTATATTGCTCCATTTTGGCTTTTTTGGCTTGATTATCAGAAAATTAACTATGGGTTCTGTTATGCTTAATGCCTGTGATATGGTGGCATGCCATTAAGTTTTCCCAGTGATACTGAGATGTGTTTGATTAGTTCATGTCATTTGAAAATACAATTCCTTTTCATAGAACTGTGGAGTGAAACCTTTTTCTGGAGTACTGTATGCCATTTAGAGTTCATGTACAAACCTGCTTTCGGTAAAGATTTGAATGTTTCTAAATTTCAGATGATTACCCTCAGTTTCTAATATCCTTAAGTGGCTACCATGTATTTATATCTGACTTGAAACACTATTTCCATGTGTCCTTACTATATTCATCTGTATAATGAGTGGATTGGTTACTTTTCAGAAGCCCTGAATGCAAAGTGTGAATATTGTTTTTCCAACCGGGCATGGTGGCACATGCCTGCAATCCCAGAGACTCTAGAGGTTGTGGCAGGAGAATTGTGAGTTCAAAGCCAGTCTTAGCAACTTAGCGAGGCCCTAAGTAATTCAGCAAGACCCTGTCTTTAAATAAAAGAAAGGACTGGGGATGTGGCTCAGTGGTTAAGTTCCCCTGGATTCAATCCCTGTACCAAAAAAAAAAAAAAAAATTCCAAAGTGTTGAATTGACATTATAAAATTTCAATTTAACAAACATGATACATTTTCAGTGATGCTTCTAAAAAGAGTGATAAAAGAGGGCAAAGAATGATGGAGAATGATCCCTCGGACACTTGGGAAGGCTGTGAGCTTTTCCACTGGTACCTGTTCAGCTGACATGGGACAGTCAGACAGCAGAAGGCACAGTTGGAGATGGGTACAGGGAAGCTCAAGGGTTATGCCCAATTTATGTGTTGATGGTAAGACTTAAAAAAAATGCTATCAGATCATTTGGTCATTTTTACAACTAATCTATGAAATGTAGTTATTGAATTTGAAGGTAAAGACCTATCTATAAAGGGCTATGATAGAGAATAAAGTATTGTTTAGAATAATCATCAATATGTATATATAGGTTGTGTGTGTGTGTATGTGAGTTTGTGTATGTGTGTGTTTGTGTGTGTGTGTATGTGTGTGTGTGTTTGTGTGTGTGTGTGTGTGTGTGTGAGAGAGAGAGAGAGAGAGAGAGAGAGAGAGAACATTATAAGTTTGGGCAGAAAAAGATTAATTGAGTGGCTTAAGTCAATATATTTCAGCTAAGCAAAATTTTAAAAATCAAGTTCTCTTGGGGGACAGTAATATAGTTGTGTTTCCCCGGAGGCCACTTTAGCTGTTTTGCTCAACTGATGATGGTGTATTCAGCCAATGTGGAACTTGATTTATATGTTCACAGAAGTTACCCAATTGGGCTTATAAAGAAACTTACAATGTCTGAGGTGCAAACATATATACGATACTAATAAAATGAGGTAGATGTGATCTGTATGTTATTGGAATTGTGGGAAAAGACCAATAGTGTCACAGCTATAAGAACAAATCTGTTTATAGGCAAAAATCAAAACCTGATTTGATTTTGGTTGGACTTCACTTGGAATGGGGAGCTCATATAAAAGAGATAAAATAGAAAACTGAAAAAAATTTTTTTTTGTTGTTGTTGCCAGAGATTGAACCCAGAGGGGATCAACCACTGAGCATCATCCCCAGCCCTTTTCTAATTTTTTAAAAAATTAAAAAACATCTCACTTTTAGTTTCAGACAGGGTCTTACAAAATTGCTTAGGGCTTCGCTAAATCGCTGAGGCGGGCTTTGAACTTGGGATCCTCCTGCCTCAGACTCCCAAGCTGCTGGGATTACAGGTGAGCACCACCACACCCAGGAGAAAACCAAACGATTGTTGATTGTCTAAAGGAGTCGCTTCCTCAGTGATGAGCAAATGTAGGTGGAATAAAGCCCCACAAGAATCTAGGAAGACAGAATCTTAGCTATTTAACAATCAAGGAAGGTGGGGAAACAGTGAAGGAGTTTCCTATGATTAACAGATCTGTCTGGTTAGCAGGAAGAAGAAGGAAGACAAGCGTCCAGTTAGAGTGCAGAGTTTCTGAACTGGCTAAGGGAACACTAGGGACGTTGTACTCCAGGAACAGTCGATGGGTGAGAGGAGAGTCTGAAATCAGATGGAAACACACCAGAGACCCATTCTAGACTCAAATGCTGTGCTCCTCTGCTGTGTTCTGTTAAGCCTGTTCTGTGTGGTGGGAAGGTAAGGGACCCGTGTCTGAAGACCTGAATTCCAATCCTTCATTGTTTTATTTTATTGGTCAATTGATGATTGATTTTATTGGGGATTGAACCCAGGGGCATGTAATCACTAAGCTACATCCCAGATCTTCTATTTTTTATTTTGAGTCAGGGTCTTTCTAAGTTGCTTAGGACCTAATCCTTCATTGTTTTAAAGAGGCAATGGGAGGATGGAGTTTCATGAAAGAATCTACCTCTGGATATGAAGAACAGTAGGATAAATCTAATATTTCTATTTAATTCAATCTAAATTACGTAGGTGATTTGACCCTCTTCTATGTAAATTATACATATTACAATTTATTTATAATTATATAATTTATAAAGTGTCTTTAAAAATAAATGGATTGAGTGATTTTAGATTCTTCTTCTGGCTAAATCAGAATGAGGGTGGGACTCCTGGTGTACACAGGTGATAGACATTGTCTACATTGGCTTTATGAAACAAGCACGGTGGGAGTAATTGGTATCCTGCACCAATGTTGATATTATGCAGATAATTCAGTGGGGAGAGGTCTCACTGGGATCAAATGAATGCACACACAGCCACGGTTATAATATCCTCATGCTTTGGGGAGTCCAGAGTTATTGTGACATAATTCATAGAAACTGTAGGATGGTTTTCCCTTCACATGACAATTCTTATATTTCTTTTCTGAGCATTTCTTTTTCCATTAATTCTAAAGAGAGACTGCCACTGTTAAAAAATTCACTGATGCTTACAGATACTATTGGCATTAAAAAATCTCTAAACAAATAGGCATTTAAACAGCATAGTTTAAAAAGAGTGATGTGCCAAGAGGAATGCTTATTGCCTTATATTTTAGCATAGTGCATACAGAGAAATATAAGGAATATCAATAGAGTATCTTTACCTTCCAAAAATACAAGGGAATTTTCTCTCTATGATGTTGTAGGTGTAGGTTAATACCTGGGAGAGGTGTGAAATAGAAAGTCGGATTAACATGTATGTGTCCATATACATACCTAGGCATGTTTATACGTATACATATATACATATATATCTGTGACATGTATGCATATGTATGCATGGATCTGGATAAACCTCTTTATACATCACACAAGTGGTGTGATTATATGCATATATATGTCTGAATATAAACACACATATTCACATACATATACATGCAGTATGTGTATTTATAAAAATATAAAAAATATATTTCATGTACTATAATATATGTATGCCTGTATATAAGAAATGCCTGTTAAACATATGTGTACACATGTCTGTATGTCTCAGAATTTCCTATGCTCTTGAGGTTTGCTAAAAAGAAGGGCACATTTCATCTTGAGAATATTCCATGCCTATCCTGGGTGGTGAGTGAGGGGAACGGACTCGGTGAGCGCTCTCACGACCTTCTCTGACTGGGGTCAGGCACGGGCAGTGATGCAGGTGCCACAGGCTGATCATGTTTCCCTGTAAATTCACAACAGCACCAATTGTGTTGATGAACATCTTCTTGGAACCACCTGGCAATCGATAACTTTATAAATGTTTATTTAATATTTATAAGCTTTTTTGCACAAAATTTCCTTTCTAAAGAAGCATGCCATGGTTGGTTTTTTCTTTCAATTCCCTTGCAGAAAATTAAGCCAATTGGGTTTCCTGTGAGCTTCTTACTTGGGTCCCCTATATGGAGACAGATATGGTATAAAGGGAAGAGTAAGGAGCCTGTGTCTAAAAACCTGAATTCTAATCCTGTATTTTAACCATATATCAACAACTTATTCCACCTCACTTTGGGTCAATGTCTTCCTCTAAAATATTTGCTAGTTTATTCAATAAATGGGAATTGTATCCTATGATAAGTGTCATGAATAGTGCCAAATATTGAATATATATTACTAAACAAAACATAAATAGTCATTTCATTCTTCAAATGAGAGCTCAAGCAAGGAATATAGACAAGAAACAAGTGAACAAAAATAGATATGAAACACAAGACAATGACATAAGAAACCATGCTTGTTGTATACTCAGAGAAGGTTTCTCTAAAAGGAGAGAATTCTGAACATTCTGATGCATGAAAGTATCAAAGGGCTATCTGTGTGAAAAAAAAAATGGCAGCAAGAAGATTTCAGGTAGGGGGACAAGTGGAAAAGAGCCAGATGTGATCTAGGAACTGCAAGGCAGCTTATGTGGCCAGGAATTGAAAGAACAGGTTTGTGACGGCATTGGAGGAATTAGGAGGCTCCATTCCTTTGCACCATTGGGCCATTACAGTATATTTTCAGGGGCAAAATGGAAAGGCCTTGCTGGTGTATTGGATATGGGTAGAGGAAAGGGAGGAATCAAACATGACTTAGATTTGTAAGGCATCTGGGTAGAAAAGAGTGTGTGAAAGCAAGCAGTCTTAAGACCTAGGAAAATGCAGTAAGTTCGAGTATTGTTTTAGTCAATATTTTTGTTGCTGTGACCAAAAGACCTGATAAGAGCAATTTTAGAGTAGAAAATGTTTATTTGGGGCTCATGGTTTCAGATGTCTCAGTCCTTAGACCATCAGCTCCATGGCTCCAAGATGAGGCAGAACATAATGGCAGAAGATTGCGGAGGAAGAAAGCAGCTCAGGACATGGCAATCAGGAATCAGAAAGAGAGGCACAGAATGTACACGTCAAAGGTGTGCCCCCAGGGACCCACCTCCCCCAGCCACACACTACCTGCCTACAGTTACCACCCAGTTAAGCCCTATCAGGGGATCAATGCTTGAGTGTGGAATGGAGCATGCCAATGTACACGTGGAGGGACAGTGGTACCAACCTTACCTCAAAGGATGTCAAGATGTCGACAATACCTGGAATGTAGAAAGCACTCATTGAATTCAACTTGACGAAACAAAACAATCAAATAAAAATCCTACTGAATATGTACAAAATCTAGTTCCA